ATTCACACTCAGTCGCCCGCTCGCTCCGTCATTGTCACGCTCTCGCTCTCTCATTCTTTTCACCCGTTTCTTCTCGGCTTTTCACCCTCGCTGTGCTTGTCTCTGTCCTTCATCTCCTCAGCACATCACTGCTCTCTCTCCCCTCACCTTCATTCAGCCTCTTTGTGCCGCCGCGCTTCCCTCCAGCAGCTGTCTTTAATTTAATTTTACCTTGTCACATTTTGCTGCATTCCCTCTTTCCTGTCTTCATTGTTATTGTAAAATCCTTTGAAACGTTGAGAATGTGTGACCTAATGTACGTCTAAAGGGCTGAGATAAGAAATCTATTTTCATTTCCCTTGGCCACTTTTGGCTCAACAAAATGAAGGAATTTTAAATGGATATTATTTCTACCAAAACATTATCACTTACTATTTTCAATACCAGCAAATCCCGTTATTGAAAATGGTATATTTCTCTTTTTTTTACTTTCACTGATCAAGTTAGCATTTTTTGTTTAAATTTGATTTGGGACAGAAAACCAACATATCTTCAATTAGACGTTCTCACTAAGTCTATCGTATTATTTTAATAATCTATATCTACAAGTTATTAGATCTATATTTTGTGTAAAACTCAGGTTTGTTCATTTGAGAAGTCGTAATACAACAAGGAAAGCTCTGAGCTAATTTTAGCAATGCAACTAGCACAGCTAGCAAACAACCGATTGATTTTTGTAAACAAATAGATAACAACTGAGTAATTATTAACAGATCTAAATAACTCTTGACCAATGCTTTCCAACTACAGACTGTCTTTAAACGAAAATAAACTTGCTAGCTATAAGCTAACATTTAAGTCTCGCTTAAAAACTACAAGCCAAAAGCTAAGTAACTATCGTATTTTCCGCACTATAAGACGCACCTAAAAACCTTCAATTTCCTCAAAAGCCGACAGTGCGCCTTATAATCCGGTGCGCCTTATATATGGACCAATATTGAGCCACAACAGGTCTAGCACCTACAGTAAGCAGCCGCTGACTTCATTTTCGCCCGTAGAAGAAGCAGCACCACGTTCTCCACCAACATGCTGTGTGCGAACGGAGAAGGGTGACCATCGTCCGGCCACGCCCCGGCCCAGTCGCGGAAAGCTCTCCTCGTCGACCGGAGTCGGACTGTTTTGTTGACATTCTTTATGTCAACAAAGAGGCTTTAGACATTCATCCTTTGCTGCAGCTCCATCTAGTGGATGCATAACGTAACTCCAGCCTCTACTGTAACGTCTGTTCTATGCGCCTTATAATGCGGTGCGCCTTATATATGAAAAACATTTTAAAATAGGCCATTCATTGAAGGTGCGCCTTATAATCCAGTGCGCCTTATAGTATGGAAAATACGGTACTAATTTATGCATCTAAATTACAGTTTTGTTTTCATTTTTATTTAGCCAGGATTAAACATTTCTTTTTACAAGAGTAACTTGGCCAACACAGCAGCACAATAAAAAATAACATTACGAAAGCCTACAATAAGCATATGCTATTGTAGCATATTGGTTTAAGAAACAAACTATAGATATCTATAGACTGTCTATATTATATAGATGTATAGAATATATCTATATAGTAGATATATTCATGCTATCAACCAAATCACACTGGTAAACTACAAACCAAAATCTATTAAGCTGTGGATGAAAACTACAAGCTGTCAGTGATCAACCCACCCACCCAAGCCAACAACTTGTAGTTTACAAGTTGTTGGCTTGTAAACTACAAGCCAACAACCAAGGGCCTCTTATAAACTACAAACTCGAACAGTAAACAATCAAATATGTTGTTAGCTGCAAGCTAACGGCTAACAGATGTCATTATTTCAAACCAAAATTCAGAAGAGAGATGAACAACCTCAAGCTAACGGCTGAATTTCCACTTTACAGGATAAAAAAGTTAGTTTCTATTCCATTAAAAAAAATAAAAGACAGAGTTAGGCTTATAATTTACAGATCTGCTAATTAACTGAATCATGCTAACTACAAGAAGCAAAATAGTTGTGCTTCTTAACTCAGCCAATTAGCCAACATTTGTTGTAATATTGGTAAAACTAAAAATAGATTTTTTTTTTTTTAATGAAGGCCTTTCTTGGCATTTCAGGCATTCCATACGGGACATAAGAATGCTAACTTTGTCACTCTAACCAAAAGATGGCATTTTTTGATAAGTATTCCAACAAAAAGCACTTCAATAGTTATCTTTTTATGTTTGTGGTAATAAATTGACATCTTGCATAATGTTCAAAAGACTGACTTTTGATTCATTTAACAGGACGTTAGCATTAGCCGTCAGACAGAATTAGATTTTGTATGTTATGATTACTTTTAATCTGATTTCTTTCTCACTCAGTCAAATTGCAGTTAGACGGGTTTAATTATCCCATACTCACTTTTGTTAATTGGGCTAAAAAAAAATAAATTGTTGGAATAAATTGGATATTATTTTAGAAAATAAATTCCTGCCTCCGATGTATTCTTTTTTTTAAATTGGTTTCTGCATTGTTTTTTTGTTTTTTTAGAACATATAGCCAGGCTGACTGTGGTTTTTATGCTTCCTTGTTTTTCCCCTTTTCTTGTGTTCCCTCTCATTCATCTGAACTCCATCTTCATTTTGCCCCCCACCCCTCTTTGCCTCTTCTTCTCCGCCCTCCATTCCACAAAGAGTAATTCCATCTCTCTCCCAGCAAACAAAGGGGGCTAATGACATGCTGACACCGAGCCTGATGATTGAATTCATTAGGCGTGCACAATAATTGCCAGGCGGCAGCGTGCGCGCACCCTTTTCACAGGACAGCTGTCAAATAACAAGCAAGAGAGAATGGCTTTTTATTGTTGCACTGGAAGAGAGAGTGAGAATGAATATAAGAAATGAAGTGAGAGAAGCACCTGTTGTAGAGGGAAGCGCGAGAAAGCTCTCAGCATGTCAATTAGGCTGATGTGTTAGTGCCGGGTTGCTGGGTGACATCAGGGCTCAGGTACAGATTTTACTATATTTCTCTCCTGCTACAATCTCTTGTTCCATTATATTTTCTATAAATATTATATTGCGAGTTATTTCCAAACTTGTAATCAAAGCTGCAACTATTTAGACACATATAGGTTTTGAAACGAGTGCAGTAGCAGAAGAAAACTTTACTGCACTGCACATAAATGCAGCACACTGTCTATTATAATTATAGCTCCCAGGAAGAACCTGTAAACTCTGAAATCAGGAAGAGATGTCAGTCAAGTGTGCCGCTGACTGTGGCGAACCAGACAGCATGACAAGTTCTGAGGGGAAGAAGTTATTTCTTTTTTCCCCGGACCGCAGGGCTGCGAGTTAGCTGCCAGCCACCAGGCCAATTCGTAAAGTAGATCTGTGCCATGTTTTCATGTGGATTCTCCTTCCCCTGACACTAGAAACTAGCTTATCATGCTGCTGGGCTGACTTTTATAACGCAGAGAAAATTGTGCCAGGCTTGACTAGGTAGGATCCCACTGAGACTTGATGCTAGCTAGCGTTTTTGTTTTTCTTTGTGGGTGGGTGTTTTCAGTTTGATGTTTGTTTTAAAAACACATAACATGTAACTCTTGGCATGCATCTTAATCTGCTTTGCTTGGTTTTTGAGGTTGGAAAATAAACTAGAAGACAAGTAAGCAATTAACTCTTGCAAAGTCAATGATGCTAGCTGTTAGCTTGTCTACATTGCTAGTTAGGTGTTAGCCTCGTATATTACAATCATAGCTGTGTTGCTTGCTGTTAGTTTTTCGACTTAAAGTAAAAAACTAGCAGTCTTGTTAGCTAAATGTCAGTATTTAAGGTCTAAACTTACTTGGTAGTTTGGTTGAATAACTCAGTTGCTAGTTAGCTGTTAGCCTGGTGGTGAATAGGCTTGACTGAAATGAAAATTAGCTTGTTAATGCCTCATTTGTTTCTTTGCTTTTGATTGGGAAGTTTACACACAGCTGGGCTGTTATTTAGCCGTTAGCTTTTTATTTTACACACCTATGCGTTTGCTTGGTAGCTTTATTTATTTATTTTTTTTGTTATTAGCTTGGTAGTTTGAGCATCTATTTCCATTCTTTAACTCCACATACAAAAAAGGAGCCAAAATACGCCCACCAATATGATTTAATCAACAGAAAATCATGTTTTATGTAACTGAAACACTGTTTTGCACCTGCAGATGCTCCACAATAGAAAGGTCTCTAAATGTGCGAGTTTTAATGCACTGGTACTTGAGATTCATCTCCTGGGAAATGTTTGTGTACCTGCATAAGTAGGTGCACTACAGGTTTTATAAACAACTTTCTGGCAGAAACAATGCTCACAGTTTCTGCCACATTGACAGTAAAACACATTTTATAACCGTTAGCAAACAATTAAATCAGAGGTGCCAAAAGTTTTTGTCATGAAGATCAAAATTGTTAAGTTGAAATCACTTCGGAGCCACAAAAATTATTTTAAAGAGGCAGTATTATCTGCTTTGCAGCAACATAATGCCATTTTATAGCACAATCAAGTAATTATATGATCATGACTTAAACATAATTTGATTTTGTAATGTAATTCCTTTAAATTGGGCCTGTCTCTTTAAGAAACTCCTGCTCTTCCTGACACTCTGCCTTCAGGAAATCATCGCAACATAAATACTGCAAATCATAACAAAAGTTTTGCACAATTGCATAAATGTAAGACAGTTTCAAACCTTATTTGTAGCTGATTTGCGTTTGAGTAAAAGTGGACCAATGGTTGAAGCACCAAACAAAGACAAATACAGAAACATCAAGTATTGGGAATATATTTTTGTACCTCATTTTTTTAAAGTGTTAAAAAATCTTTTCTTACAAGATCGAAAAATGTCGGGGTGACCGCACAAAATCCTTCAGAGGGCCGTAAATGGCCCACGGACCGCACTTTGACCATCCCCGAGTTAAATATTTTCATGATTTATATTTTAAATCTGGATATTTGTTTGTTCCTGTTGTAGAAAACAGAGGAGGATGAACTGGTCCTGACTCCCGACGGGACCAGAGAGTTCCTGACCTTCGAGATCCCGCTCAGCGACTCGGGTTCTGCAGGTTTGGGCGTCAGCGTGAAAGGCAACCGCTCCAAGGAAAACCATGCAGACCTCGGCATATTTGTCAAATCAATCATAAACGGTGGAGCAGCCTGCAAGGTACTGAGCATCCTGTTGTTTAGAGCAGAAAGGAGAAGTTTCCTATTGATACGCTGCAAACATGCAGAATCACCAAGTATTTGTAGTCTAGTTTCTAATGAAAATATCCTGTTAGACTTAAAATAAGATAAAATTAACTTACAAGTAACTTTTCAGCAACAAATGGGGGCTTAAGTAAATAATTCTACAATATTGATTGAATAAAAGTGGAACTACGATTTTTTTAAATCAATTTTAAGGAATTAACTTGAAATGAGTCCCTGTAACTTTCTGAAAAGTTACTTGTATGTTATTTTGTAAGTATTTTCACTAGAAACTGGACCAAAAATACTGAATATATAAACCATTTTTCTTTGTCTGACAACAGGATGGACGACTGAGGGTGAACGACCAGCTGATTGCTGTGAACGGCGAATCACTGTTGGGGAAAACCAACCAAGACGCCATGGAGACGCTGAGGAAGTCGATGTCAACAGAAGGCAACAAGCGCGGGATGATCCAGCTGATCGTGGCCCGACGAGTGGCCAAGAGAAACGAGGTAAAGAATGACTGTCATACTAAGCAATTAATTAATTAATTAATTAATCACAAGATAAATGTACCTTATGTAGCTTTCAGTAGAATCCAATTACACTTTCTTAAAGGTCTTCTTTTAACAGTTGTTTTATCTTTGCCATTAAAGCAGCATTTTCCCTAATCTATTTTTTTGCGTGATTATCTACATAACTTTTTTGGTCTACATAAAATCAAAGTAAAATGCAACAAAAAGTAAAAAAAAAATGTTTCTTAGGAATACCTTCCCAAGACACCAGCTATGTTTCCGTTACAAATATGTGCAAAACTTTAATATTCTGCTAACATCAAAAAAACACAATTTTGCAATTGCTTTGTTTCCATTAGATAAGTTCCACTTCCTAGTCCCACTAGTTCCACTTCCTGTTGTTTTCTTTGTCGTTTCCACCAGTGGTAACTTCCGGTTTTGAAAAAAATCACCTCTTGCTGCCGCATAAACATTTAACAGAAAAACGTTTCCATTAAGCTAATTTATTTTGTAATCCCACTTTGCACAGCTTTATGTAGCATAGTTGTTGAAGATGTTATCTCCTCCACGTTTGTTGACTCTTTAGTACCAACGTGAAGCTTGTGTGGTAAAAACACGACCGCCTGGTCATGTGAGCATCGGTTAATAATTTCATGTAGAACCAGGAAGTTTCCAGGTCAGAGTGATTTACCAATGCCTCCCTCACACACCAACACGCCTCCCATGGGGCAGGAATGAAAACAGGCTGCAAACCAAGCGGCGCCATTTTTATTTATTTTTTTCTTACCTCCCCTCAATGTCATGTCTTTACATTCCCTGTACACCTCGGCCTGTCGCCTGCTTGAAAGCGAAGGCTGAGTGAGTGTTGGTGTGCGAGTGTACGCCTCTGGCGCTACCAGGCTTCCCCGCTCTCCTTCCCCAACCCGGTGTGTCAAAGTTTAGATTTCCCCTCGGTCCGCCTGGTAATTGAAAGCAGGGGCTCAGCCTGGAGGTGTTTTTCGGTGTGCGTCGACGTGTATGCACATGTTTGCATCAGCCTCCCGTTTATGTATGCATATAAGAGTGTGTAGTGCGTGTGTGTGTTTTCAGGTCTTTTTCTGCGTTTGTTTGCTTAGACGATGCGTCGGGTGGCAAGACTTCTCGGGGAGAATTAGGACTGGATAAAACTCGGCCTTGGAGAGCCTTTCTCTTTGTTTCACATGCATAGCTGGAGGCTTGGCCTACGGCTGACCAAGTGTCTGCTTGTTTATAGGAAAAACTCTCCTCAAAAGAAGGATGAAAACCATTTTCATACTTTTTTTTTTTACTGTACGGAGATGATTTACAAGCAGCATTCAGCTTCTATGCACCACAGATCTGGAACAAACTCACAGGAAACTGCAAAACAGCTGAAACACTGAGTTCCTTTAAATCAAGGCTATGAATGCTAACGCTGGCTAGCATGGCCTCCGATGACGGTTTCCCTGTAACTGTGAGCTGTTTTTCCACCATTAGAACATTGAGGAGCGCATACATGAGGTTGATGGACAGTGCTAAGACCCGCCTTCTGGTTCTGATTGGTTGTTTTGGGTCGGGATCGATGCTTTTCTTCAGACAGCAATAATCGCTCAGGGAGAAGGTTGAGGTAATCAGTCTTTTCACAGATTATCTGGTTCATATTAATCTGTAACGACATGGTGACAGCTTTAACAAACATGTAAAAAACATTTCTATAAAAGTTACATACTGCAGCTTTAAGCTACTGGAGAATAATGGTGTCCTCCCCAGCCTGTCAGTGAAATATTTAAAAAAGCTCTTCTAATAACTAATTACCGTGGGACGAGAGCCTTGGCTCATTTTTGACATTTTCCTGACATATGGGATCAAATAATCCTGTATTTACTTTCCTCCCCATGTCTCCATCCCCTGACAGCCAATCTCAAATCAATCTGAAATGTTTGTCGCTGCATAAATCACAAGCCCAACTGCTTCCCGCTCCTTCACCCAGACCCAGAAACACACCAAACTGAGAGCAGCACACTTCCACACCACCGCTGGGATCCAGCTCAGCTACCCGCCAGAATATGCAATGAGCTGTGGCGTGATTTGTCAATGCGACGTCGGCCTGCTAAATCCCCTCTGCTATTACGGAGGCATTTCAGCCCCGCTCCTCGGTCGGCCAATTCATTAACTACCTCATTTAAAGTCGAGAGCAGCCAGCAGTCGCTGCGCCATATGGCGACCTTTGAAATTAGTTTGTTTCCGAAGTTGATTTGTTGGCTCCGTGTGAAGTTTTGATTGGTTTTCTTCATTCTGCTGTGATTTCAGTCATTTGTTTACCTTTAAAACAAAGAGACTGCTAATGAAGACCTTATCTGGTATTAGTGAAATCTGGATTCCATCAGAACTTTATCCGTTCATTAATGTCAGTTCCTGACCATTGTTTAGAGGTAATTTGCTCAAACTTCCTTCCGTATTCCCAATTTATATTGGACGCCAGCTGGGCCGCATTTGTGTTTTTAAAAGTATTGATGTGGAAACATTTTAATTGTCGTCTCAATTGCTTATTGACATTTCGCCTCAAATTGCACAATCTTGTTCAGGCCCAAGAAATCAATATTTTTTCCCCATGCCTCTTAGGTCTTCACTGTTTAGGATCATTGTCCTGCTGGGGGGGGAGTTTGGCGCTGTCACACTCTTAAACACAAAGTATTTGATAATGAATTAAATAACTTTAGATTACCCTGCTGCTGCCCTCCGACAAGCAGAAAAGAATCAATTCTGTAGAGAAATCCTCTGAATCAATTCAGAATGCTCAAAAATATTTTAGTCTGCTTAATTCTTTGTCTAATTATATTTTTGAATGATTATTTTAAGATTTCTATTTAAGAAAAATCCAGGCAGCTAAGCTAACCTAATTACCCTTTGCACGTGACGTCACGCTCTCCAGAACTCCGCCCACTCCGCCATGACGGTAAAGCTCGGCTAAAAACAGACATCTAGAGTCTAAAATCGCTTCTATTTTGATGACTTCACTTTAAAAATGGTCATAGGGTGCTGCGCGGTTGGCTGCACAAACAGACAAGGGTGCAAACCAAGCTTGTCATTTTATTTTGTAACTTTTAATGAGGAAAGATGGATAGCAGCTGTTAATCATAACGATAACGACTAGCAGCTGTCAATAATAATGACTGGCAGCCCTCGGTGTAGTCGTGAATTTGCAGCAAACATTTTTTACAAGGTAAGAAGACTAATGTTCATATAATTTATAAGTGTGTGTAATTAGAAATATGTCAAATATCGCATTATGGAGAAGGTACGCGTTTAACCATTAACCATGAGACAATGCCGCACCGTCATGTAGCCTAGCATGTATGGGAGAAAACTGGTTAGCATCTCGTCTTTTATGCGTTTTTAAGGCTGCTGCGGTGTAAGGGGAAAGCTGTTTATGACACAGTCATATAAACCATGTGGTGTGAATTAAAGCAAAGTCGGTAATTTGATCAACACGTCAGGAGGGAGGCGGTCTGGGTCAGTTTCTAAGCTAGCTAGCGCCATCAATGAGCTCCAGCCAGGTGTGTTGTTCACAGACAAATTAGCTCGACTCGAACAAGAAGAAGCCATGAATAAACTGATGAAAACCTCGTTGGAAAACAATTTCAGTCGCTCTGTTCAATACTAATGTCACTTCCGACATACGTCATGGCGCTTTGAGTGATTAAGTGACGTAGTTGCAAAGGGTCAATTCTGGCAATTTAAGGTTCAGAATTTTATACATGAACCAATTTTTGTTTAAAAATAAACTGATGAAATTTGATACAAGCTGTGTCCAAATTCAGGGACTGCATCCTTCAACGGGCCAGAAAACTGCAATCGTTGCACCCCTAACATGAACAGTTAATCAACCCCGGTCTGCTCCCCATTCAGCTCCTTCAGACTAGCCAGCAGCAACTAGCAAACACCTGGCTTGTTATAGGAGCTACTTCTCAGTGAAATGCAGGTAAAAACAAACGTTACAGGGTTAATAGAGGAGCCATGTTGCGATGACTTCCTGAAGGCAGAGCTTCAGAAAGAGCTGGAGTTTTTAAAGAGACAGAGACCCAATAGACCTGAAATATATATATATATATATTTTAAGTCATATCTGATATGTTACGTGCCTATATGGTGGAAACAACAACACAATCTTGGACCAGTCCATCTCGTACCGACAAACTGTCTTTAATACCTAAAAGCATTGAGTTGCTGCTATGTGATTGACTTATGACCTAATAAATCCCCACTTTTTCACGTTTCTCTTCTGCTGTAGTTCTCATATGCGGAGTCCTTTATAAAAAAAACAGATGTTTGCTCCAGGATCCTGTCTGTGGTGGTTACTGCGGCACCTTAGCTGTTTAGTAAGAGGCAAGGATCATTGGTCAAAGACCTTTTGCCAAAATCGAATCCCAGCCTGGCCAGTTACAGCCATCGATTGGGGTAATTTGGCTCCAGTATCGACTCCAGCGTTCTCTTGCTACGTGATGCCAGCCACGGCGGTTATCTTCATAGCGAGGGCTGTCATCACCGTCAGCAAGAAATGCAGAAGCCCCAGCAAATCAATGGAGTCAACGATCCAATGGACAAACACTAAGGGCAGAGACGCCCACGCCAGCGCATGGACCGGAGCTACTGGGTGACACACTCTGCAAATGGTCTATTTGTCCAGCAAACAAGGAAGTGTCATCGCGGGTCTTGAGGGAAATGTCAGGCTGGTGGCGAGTTAACCTTCTTCTGCATGGCTCAGGTGGCTTGTTAACAGCCGGTGACTCAATGGCCTGTTGAAAATCTGAACTCATTTATTCTTGTTATCACACAGGTCGCGTTAGCATGGAAACCTGCTCCTCTGCTCGTCCATTAGTGCTCACAGCATTTTAGTAAGGCTGCTTCCCTCCAGGCATGTTTTCTGACGACCGCAGTGGAGAAAACGCTTCTTGTTTGTTCTGGTCCACATTGTCAATAGACGTCTGTAAGATTGAAACTGGTCAGACAAATACAACAATAATGCCGAATCTGATTTCTTAGGGGTATCCCTGCCTTTAGCAGAACCCTCTACTAGGCCTGAAAGGATAGCAAAGTTTTTCTGGATGATAAATTGTTCCAGAAGTTTTTGTGATAAACGATAATATTGTTGTTTTCATGAACTATAATGCAAGAATGCATTCTAATAGATCAGTAGGCCTTAATTTACCAAAAAAAAACAGTTAACACTGGAACTGTAAGACATTTTAAATATCAAAAAGAAAAGAAATATAACAACTGAAACCACAAATAAAATATGTCTATGGAATCGAAAATTCTCTTAAAAAAAAAAGGGCCAGTTAAGACCAAAGCACCAGATTGAAGATTAAAATCGTCCAATTTTTGGTAGAAAGAAAGAAAAGACAAAAACGACAGATTATGCAAATGGAAATTATTGAGCTCGTTTTAATCTATCATGTGATTAATATATTTATTGCTTATTGGTACAGGCCTACCCTGTATAACTACATCTATTCACTGTATTCAAGTAGTCGTAAATACATTTCATGGAGAAAATAGACACATTATTAAGAAACTGGCACATCATTAGTTCTCACACATTTAATACATCTAAACATACATGACAGAATGTCACTAATGGTTTCCCCAGTGTTAAAATGTTAACACTGGTTATTATGTTATTGGAAGACATTATTGACAACACTTAAAGACAATGAAATACAAAGTTTTTGGCTCCCTTCTGGTCATATTTAAAAACGAAATTGAAAGGAATATTACCCAAAATGGACAACGATAAGTTAGTATGTTTATGCTTAACTATACATCCTTAAAGTACACAATTAAAGTATTTACTGTATTAAGTTTTCTTAAATTCACCACTGTATTTTAATTTTCTGTTTGTGATTGGTTGTTGTCACAGTGAACGCTGTTTTTATTAGACATATTCCAATTTAAACACCTGCTCTACTGATGATCTGTCAGAGTTGGGATGAGGTCTGCCTCTTTTCTTTTTTAACTGAACTGAACCAAATTCCACAGCACATCTTCATGTTCTAATTGTCATAGTCAAGCTAGCTTAACTGATCTACTTCCCTCTCCTGTATTTTTTTAAATGTACCTTTTACCTTATCTTGTTATCTGGTTATCATGGTGTTGACAATTAGTAGCAAAGCACCACGCCCCTTTTTTTATATATGTGACGCGTATATTTAAGATTTTATGTTGACATCTTGACAGCCAATACCAATGCTAGTCATTATTAGCTAGCAGCTACAACGCTGCAACATGTCAATACTGTAACATGGAAAGAAAATAATTTTCTCTTCCTCTAGTATGCACTTCATCCTTTTTCTCTTTCGTCATTATTCATTCGTCGTTCGGACACAATGAACCAATCAACTAGCTACAATACTCGACAATCAAACGATGTCTGTAAGAACACAGGGAAGTGTGGGGAGAAGTTGTCTCCAAAGTGAATCATCGCTCGTTTTTCATGAAGCATCACTGAAACTGAATGTGTTGACTGCTGATTGTAGTCGCCAACTATCTCAGACCTCCATCTCTTCCCTTCGTTTCAGGATTCTCCAGGAAACCCGTTGGGATCCCAGCAGACGGTAAACACCAGTCTGGACGACCACGAGCGCAGAATCTCCCACTCCCTCTACGGTGGCCTGGAAGGCCTCGATGACAACTTGATGCCACGTCAAGGAATGATTCCACGCACAATAGGTAACGATGCAAATCTCTCTGCTCCCCTTGTTTTAACTCAGGGCTTCGTTACAGATAAAATGTCAGAAGGATTTTACTTTTTCAAGTGTTGCATTTCAAATTTGTGATGTGTGGAGTGGTAGACTTCATCACCTCTGATCATCTCTTCTTAGCAGCCTGACAGTTTAACTTCCCACTTCTCTTTATTTCTCTGATTTTCCCATGAAACACAAGCCCTGATATCAAAGTCTTTATATGCTGCAGGCAGTATTTGTGCTCATTTTTTTCTGATATTTATGAGCTACACACTGTTTCAAACTGGATTTATTAACACCATCTGATAATATTAAAAAACTCAGTAGATTTTCTAAACGGACTTGCAAACAGACTAAGCTGGAAAAGGTGATTGTAAGAGCTGTTCCCTGAAGTACACAGACTATTAACAACCTGGGATGTTAAATCAAGTAGAAGATGAGCCACTGAGCTCTTTTTATTGCACTACTAGTCCGGGTTTTTAATGATACTCAAGCTGAGCGTTTTGGGGTTTTTTTTGTCTTGAATAACACAAATTAAACGTAAGATCAGGAATCTATTCATTAAACTAGTGCAAAGTAGAGCTGGGCGATATGACTGAAAATTAAAGTAATGCTCCCTTCTGAAGCTGCTGTCCCTGCGACCCGAATCCAGATGAAGCGGAAGAAGATGGATGGATGGATGGATACAATTTTGAGATTTTACATTAGAAACAACAGAGTTTAAAGAAAAAAAGAAATATTATTTATTATTATTTCACAGAACAAAATATGAATAGACAAAATTTCCACAAAAAACATAAAAAAAAGAATATTCTTATTTCATACGACAAAGTGTGTGGATCGATTCGTTTTTCATAAAAAAATTTAAAAAGATGTAAATTAAACAAAGTTTGTGAATAGACTCATTTGCTGTTAAAAAACATAAAGATAAAAATTAATCATAGTTTAAACAAAAAATGCTAGTATACAAATTTTCCCTGAATAATACATAGAAAATATAAAAATGTATAGTTAAAACAAAAAGACAAATAGACAAACTTTCCAATAATGTTTTTCAAAAAAATATATATATATTCTTAGTTCACACCAAAAAACAATCTGACTGGTCACATTTTCTGCAAAAATGTTTCACAAAAACATGAAACAACAAATCTTAGTTCAACAGGAAATTTGAGAATAGAAAATTTTTCTGTGAACAAAAACAGTTCAAAAAATTAATAAGAAAACCTATGTACAACCATTTTAGAAAAAGAGAGAAAACCAACATTCAAGAAATCGGATCGGATACAATATAGTCATAAAAACCTCATGATACAACGCATTAGATTAGGAATCTTTTTTAAACTAATCATTTATTCGATCCTTAGTTACTTGCAGAAGTTATATGATGGAATAAATAATTTAAACGTTAAGTATTAATGATGTAATATGAAGACAAAAGCCGCTGCTGTTCAGAAAAGGAGTCGACTTTAAAAGTTGAGTAGAGTGGGTATAAATAAAAAATGGAGTTGCAGAAATTAACCCTAAATGCTGTTGAGCACCCACCCAGGACAACATCTGCCTCCCGCTGCTCCAATTTCAGATCAGACTAAATTGTTTGTTTTTATTTCATTCCGTTCTCCCCAGTGTTGCAACAAAAGCTGATTTCTGACTCTTAAAATCGAAGAAAAACGACAAATGAAAAAAAAATCCCCTACATTTGTTTATTTCGTCAGCGTGAGCCATCTGTGCCATCTGCTCTGTTTTTGTCACATTCTGCCTTTTTTCAAACTCTTAGCAACATCAGGGAGCAACAGATTGAACAAAACTTGTCTCTTTTTACAGTTTCTCTCTTACAGTGTCTGTTTGTGTGGATTTGCACGTCTTAAAACCTTTTCTGTTGCTGTGACCTAAAGCGGGCTCTGACATGGCTTTGAAGTCTGCGGGTTTGTAGAAACGTGTGTGTCGGACAAAGTGGAGGAGATTAGCGTTTTCGTATGCATATGTAAGAGCTTTAGGTGCAGCTGTGCAGGATTGCATGTGTGCAGTACATAAATTATTGCTTGATGGATTGCTGGTTAAATTTCCTGATGACTTGAAAAGAAGGACTTCTGCACACCAGATGGTGCAACGACACAAATTCCCTGTTTTCATTTTACAAAGCCTTATTTTTATTCTCATGAAAAATGCAATAAAATAAAGAGAGCAACGCTTCTGCTTCTGATAGATGATTGCAAGTCACTCCAAACAGGAAATCTGACAGAAAACCCCTCACAGTGCAAACAGATTTAACCGAGGAAGAGTTGATGCACCAACTTTTAATCAGCTTTTTAAATGAGCTTCCGCTAACTCTGCCTCATTAATCAGTGCAACATTATGTTAAAGTGAGAACTCTGTTTTCCCTTCATGCAAATTGGTTGACACTGGCACCGCTGTGAGTGTAAACAAAGGAGGGTGACAGAGGAAGTGTTAATAGGTGAAGCTCCATCATGCTGCTGCAGCGGCTACGTTCAGCCATGCTTATCAAACAGCAACAACTTATAATGAGCCTGCAGGGTCGAAAGTGAGGAGAAACGGGCCTGAGTCAACTCATGCAAACAAGATCTCCGTCACTTAGCCGAACAGACAGGCTGATTGTTACATCTCTAGAACAAGAGCAGCAAGTGTTTACTGAGGTTATGCATAATGTCATACTGTGCAAAAATCTAGAGATGTTCTTTTATTTCTCTATGTAGATTTATTTATTATGATTTATCAAAGTTTTCTTTGAGTATCTGATTCATTTCAGATTCATTTTCAACTCTTGACTTTTAAGTTATTCTAGGATGTGGCTGAATTGTGATATAACTGTTTTATGTCGGTCTATATTGATAATTATCGAGTAGTTTTTTTTTATTTTAAATATCTGAAACTTTTAGTGTAACATTTCCTGTTTTATCCAGTTTTCTCTCCACGCCGTTGTTTTTTATTTTTAAGCAGTTATTAGGCACATAGGAAAAACCTGAAACGGCTGCTGCTCCTGTTACTCAGCATGTTGTTGCTAGGCAACCGAAGCTAAGCAGAACTCGGAACTGCTCGTTACTCAGCATGTTGTTGCTAGGCAACCGAAGTTGAGCGGAACTGGAAACTGCTCGTTACTCAGCATGTTGTTGCTAGGCAACCGATGCCACCAGTCTTGCTTAGTTATTTGGGAAAGATTGAGCAGCTGAAGTCTTTCCTCTGCCTACATCTCCCAGAATGATGTGCAGTTCTAGATTGGAGTTTGGTAAATATGCTATACATTGAATTTTCTGTCATGCGTATTGATATTGATCACATGTCTATCGCAATATATATCTTATTGATTTATTGTCCAGTCCCAAGTGATTCAAAAATAAAAAACCTTAAATGAAAAACCACTGTAGCTTAGTATTTTAAATTGGACGTTTAAGCACTTTTTCTAGGGACGTAACAAAGATGATCAGGAATCAGAAACACAAAAATCCAAGATTTTTAGTTAAAAACCTAGTTTGGATCATATTTAAAGCACAATTATAAAAAAGTTATAAGTGATTTAAATGTTTTAGAAAGCACACATAGCATGCAGTTGAAAAGAAAAACTTCTAATTTAAATCCATTTTCACAAAGAAATTAAAAATGTGTTAAAAGTTCAACCCATTTGAAAGTTAAGTGATTCTTCTGACTTTAAATAAGGGGTAAAATATGGTTAAAAATTTGATGAGAATCCAGCTGTTAACAGCCGCCACGTCTGTCCTCCCGCCGTTCGTCACTTCCAACATGTGAGGGTTAAGACACGTTCCATGCAGACGTTGATTCATCAAACCCTACACTTTCCACAAATGCGTTTCTGATCCTTCGTCACGTGTGACACCGGATTGACCCGATCGAGGGAGGAAAGTGGACGTGCAATCTGCCGCACAATGGGACACAAAGCATGTCTAACATACATGATGGTCCAAGTGTTGGATACCAAAACCTCATGATTTATTCCCTCCTTATGGAACACTGATCGTTCTGTTACAGTCTGTGCATCTGAAGGGGCAACTTGAACCCGGATATGATGAGCAAAAAAAAAAAAAAAATCTTTCTGCTTCATATGGATTTAAAATTGAGTGTGTAATAAATTTCTGCTGACCTAAAAGTGTCCAAGGACTTGAGTTATAAAGCATTACTCAGCAGCGTTGGGTCAGAGGGAGACTGGAGAGGTCAGATGGGGATTAAAGTTTAATTTGCCTGTGTGGTGGAAAGTAGAGAGGATAAAACCTCCAGGGTTGCACTTTAATCCTCAAACTTCTCCTAGATGCTTTTATAGAGGTTTTCATTGCCACCAAATGTTTATTTATTTTTAGTGGTTGGACTTGATTAAAATTTTAATGGAGAAATCAGATATTAACAAAATAAGCAAATTTTTTGCTGGTAATTTTGTGAATTAAAAGCCTTTTTTATTGTTTTTAATGTGTGTTTTAGTTTGTCCAACTCTGATTGTTTCAAAGCGCCTCCCCCACTCGGCTCCTCCAGACTAGCAGCATCATATGAACCGCTTCAATCCAACTCTCCTAAGAACGGCTATAAACAGCATAATGGAGGAGCATTGTTGAAATGACATGCTGAAGGCGGCGTGTTGGAAAGAGCAGGAGCTTCTTAAAGAGACAGAAGCCCAATTTCCAGATATCAGTTTGTAAAATCAGTCATGTTTGCTACATAGAGCTTTTTTATAGCAACTCAAGGTAACATAGTTACTTGATTGTGCTGTAAAGAAGCAGTGTGTGGCTGGAAAACGCATAATACTTTTTGGATCTATTTTTTTGGCAGCCATTTTTGCCAAGTCTCTTACTTGCTGTTGAGTCACCAAAGGTGTTTTCACACCTGATAGTCAGGTAGACTCGGTTCAAAATTGGAACATTTTACATTTTCAGCTGCTGTGATTGTCTTTCACACTGCACTGAGTCAAACAAACCGAACCCTTTGAAAAACCTGTTCTCCTCCTCACCTGTGGGGGCGCTGAACCAAGAACCACTGAAGGAAACGACATGAAAACCTCAGAAGAAGACATGACATGAAGACAACTTCCTGCTTCACAAAATGTAAACAACAATGGAATATCTTCGGATTTTAGTGGTTGTTGGTAAAAGACAATGAGCCGTTTTTCCTGAAACGCTAGACTGGCGCTTTTGTTTTGGTTGCGTTTACCCAAAATGCCCTGCTCTTGTTGTCTGCTTCCTGCTTTGGAGCGGACTCTGGTTTGCTAGACGTTCTTATATTCATTCGAACTACACCAGGTTTCACTTCAGCCTAACCGAGACCGAGGTCTTCAGGTGGGTTAGAGTTCGCTTTTTGGTCTGCATCAGATTTCAACCAGAACTCAATTGAACCGAACTTTCCAGGCTAATGGAGTGGAGTTGGATTGAAGCGGACTGAAGAGGACAGGTGTGAATGCACCTCCAGATTTTGTTCTGAGACTTTGATGCATTGCAGTACATCTGGCAGACGAGCCTCTCCTGATTTTTCGTGTGAAGAATTTGTGGATTTTAGCAGTTTGCATCCCCTAGCCGCCGTGAATACCAGGGCCCCACTGTCTTGTGATTTCATTGTAAATGAGATGTTTGATATTGTAGTTTGCAGAACAAAGTCCCTCCAAACCGTTTCAGTGATTACTAATCACCTTTTGGCTTCTCACCACCTCCACCAGGCCAACAAATGTGGTGCATCTGTCTTCAATTTGGGTTAATTTACCTTAAAAAAAAAGCTTCAGGGAGTTTGTGTTTGCAATGATGGATCAGCAGAACAGTGTGCAAGTTTCTTCATGTGTGGTCTCCAGTTGAAGCTACTGAAGACATTGCAGAGTAATTTACTGCTGCCACACTTTGTGCTTTCTTATAAATGACCTCACTGGATCGAGGACGGATCTGGAAAACTTTGGGAAGCCAGCGGCTGAACGTGTGGCTGTCGGCTCCCAGATGTGTGCGCGTGTAAACACAAAGCCGGAGCTCTGCATGCGCGGCGGCAGTCGTTTCTCTTGAATAGATTATTGAGAGTGCTTGGGGGAGCCTTTCACAGTTGCCTGGAATAAGTCTGTTGTAAAGCTGCCACAAAACATAAATCATGCATTAGAGTTTCTTAGAAGACAACATCATTCCTATTCAGAATGTATCGTCTTTTCTGGCCCTGCTGCACGCTCTTAGATCACTCGCTGGTTTTTCACCCTCAAGATGCCAAGGATAAGAGAGCAGCTTAATTATTCCTTCAGGCCAGAAGCTTTCAAGGCCCGGCACCCCTGGCAATAACCTCCTTACTAATTATGCAAATAGATCGAGACAAGACGAAAAGAAGGGGAGACGTAAAACCTCTGCCTCTGCCCGTCTTTCGCCTCATGTTATTCTCACTCCATCCTATTTCCATTTGCAACAAAAACGTCTTTTTCCCCTTTTGCCTCCAGGTATGTAGTCATTCTTTGCAGCATTATAATAGCCTCTACAGCTGAATCTAAATAAACTGCCACCTATTGTTTGCCTGCAGCTCCGTCCAGAAGTTATTATGTCCTCGGGGATCATTAGAGCGTAAACAGCGGTTTGGTCCTCAGGTGATGCTGGGTGTGCTCTCCCTCCGCTTGGCAGGCGTATTGTTGCTGGACGACGGCTGCCCTTGGGTCCTGGCTCTAAAACAAAGAGGCTTTTTTTACGCTCCGCTCTTACCAGGCCACCGAGTTGACAGATTCATTGGTTTTCTACTCAGTAGCTGCCAGTTGATTGTGCTGCGGTGATTCAAACTGTGGCATTGATGGGATTCTCAGTGTTGCACACTGGACTGCTTAGGGAAATGGGATTAAGTGTGTGTGTGTGTGTGTGTGTGTGTGTGTGTGTGTGGTCTTGGAGAGAGAGATGCTGAGCTGAAACACTCAGACTCCCAAAATTGCGGTGAATCAACTTGAACAGCAGGGAGGAGCTGAAGGAGCAAGATTTTCCACTAAAACGATGAAGGATTGACACTTTTAAAGGCTACATGCGCGCACTAGTACCACCAACATGTCCAGGTTATTCAAGTCATTATTAACCGTTTACCCCTGAACGCACCATCTGTTGACAGGTCCAGCCTCTTCATCCTTTCACAAAATATTAAAATTAAACATCAGTGAAATCTAAACCTTGAATCTTGATTTACGTCTTGAATTTTCAGTGCAGCAGAGATTTTTCATTTCATTGTTGCTCCACTTCTTCTCCAGAAGCATTTCCTCCTGGCTGACTGAATAATCTGTGTTGTTGCTTGTGAACCAGATCATGTCCAGATTGGACCTTTCACTCTGGGGGCTGAACTCTTTTTCTTTTTGGCCATTTAAAGTGATTTAATTGCAGAAGTGATGCTTTATCAGAAATATGTTTATAAATGTGGATCCTGAGGCGTCCCACTCAGGAACAGAAAACACCAAGCAAAGAGTTTTTAATTGACCCGGACTTGCATACCTTCAGGCCTCTCCTGATCCCGTCTTTGTTTTTCCTTTGAGCTCGTTTCCATCGGTTCATCCAGCCGCTGGCTGGAAGCAGCGGAGGCCCAGCGGCACGTCGGCCGTCTCTGCGCTCAGTTATGAGAAACAAACAGCGGGGCTGGCTCAGGTCTGCAGCTTTAAACTCCAAACGCATCCAAACGCTGTCTAAAGACAAACAAACTTCTCCCTAAGCTCGGTACACAAGCCCTTTCTGAAGCGTCGAAGCTCCCCGGTTTTTGATGCCAATTTCAAAACGCAGATTAAAGACCGAGTCATGCGCTGCATATCAATGCCTTTTTTAAGCCGTGCTTTTCTCTGCCTGGAGAAAGAAGACTTTTATATGTTTTTTCCCCTCAGTTGAGGAAGCTTTTATCTGTATTTGTGAGGGCACAGCTTGAATTAATCTTTGTGTTTTGACATAGAAACACCATTGTGCCCCGCTGACTAACTGCTTTTGGTAAAAGCTGATTAACTTTGAGCGTTTTCTCTTTGCTTTTAGACCTCAAAGTATTTTTGGGGGGGCTTCAAAGTTTCCAATTATATTATAGATGTTCTAATAACCGTCACTCTTGATGGAGTTTTTTATTTTCTGGCCAATACATTCATGACAGTTTTAATGAGTTTTTCTCCTCCTGTTGGTTGAACTTTGGTAGATTTTCGCCTGCAGCTAAAAGGAATAATTAATAAACTTTTATTTTGGACCAAAGTATGTGGTTTACCTTTGTAGACCTAGTTTTAAATGCTGGGAAACCAAAGACTTGCAAAACGATTTTTGTTATTGGTTTCTTTTTAATGAGGGAGGAATAATTCATCACCAATGTGCATTTGTAGTTTTGGGGGAAAAACTACTTTGTGTTCGAGCACAAATAGATCAAAAATGATAAAAAACATCACAGTTTAAGAAATTAAGAATTATATTTATGATTAGAATGTTGTTTTAAAATAAAAACAGCCATAAAGTTGGTAAAAACAATCAGGTCTTTACATATTTTTTATGTTCTGTTCACTAAAAAATCACTTTGTTTGTCCATCTATCCATCCACCTTTTAATTCATCTGTTTATCTGAGTCCGTCTGTCCTTACACCCGTTTTTAGCTTCCCTGTTTAAAGTCTGTCCGCTACATGAACCTCTGCCTTAAATTCAAACTAAATTTTTCTCATTTTTTCTTTCAAAAATGGCTAAAAATCTGTGAAAACTCTTGAACTGCAAACATTTGATTCTGGAAAAGTTGTTTTAACATGAGGAATATGTATGACCGCTGAATGTGGAGAGAGTGATTCAGTCTTTCCAGTCAGTTTTTAAAATGGATGATTTAAAGTGTGACACAGATTGCCGTATTTTATTTGGAGGCGCTGAAGCTGCGGGGCACCGGCCTTTTGTTTCAGTTTTGACGGATTTCTCTCTGAAATATTAGTTTGCATCAGTTCTCGGTGTAGAAAGGAGCCTTTTGCTCTTTGATTCCTGACGACTAACACAAGAACTTGACATTTATTATTCATTTGAACCATGTCTGGTCAGTCGGAGTCAGGATGTGCTTGGCAGCTTTTACAGCTGAAAGATTAAAACTCCACGTTTGGAAAGAGATGAGAGGAATAATAAATCGCATCTCCTGCAGGAAACTATCAGCTCTCTCCGACCGTCAACATGCCGCAGGACGACACCGTGATCATCGAGGACGACCGCCCGCCGCTCCTGCCGTCCAACATGTCCGACCAGTCCTCGTCCAGTTCCCATGACGATGTGGGCTTCGTGGCTGATGTGACTCCGCCGTGGGCCAAAGAGCTGCCTGCTCACAACGAAAGGTGCATTTAAATGGTTCATTTTTCTAAATATTGTCGTCTGCAGCTTTTTGTAGATGCAACCTGCAGGGTTTCCTTATGTTGAAACTTTTTAAGCTACTTTGAATAAATAATTGAGCAAACTGTACCTCTAGTTAGGTAGCTCCAATGGTCTTCTTAAAAGATGGAGTCACTGGGAACATTTCTTAAAAATATAGTCAGTGTTTTCAGAAAAGTTGAGCTGACTGTCCAGGAATGATCCGAGGTAGTTTTAACAGGTTGGTCATCGAGAGAAACTGGAACCACTTCCTGGTTTTGTTTATGTCATTTAATGAGCTCCTTAAGAAAATGAAAAGGTATGGTGTGTTGTGAGGGAATTTATCTTTTTCTGTTCCAGTAATGCCAGAATTAATCTTAAATAATAAAGACTTAATGGTATTCTGATAAGTAATTTAATATATTAGTTGTGTTACCACCCCCACGCCACTAGAGGCAGTAGCAGGCTGGAAAAGATGCGACTAATGAGCAGATTTAGAAGTACACAGAAAGCTACAGGATTTGTTAAAAACTGTGAGCTGCGCTGGAGAAAATAAGAAAAATCAAATACATGCTGGGAGTGAAACAGATTTTAAAAGAAAATAAAAACGGGAGCCCGTGGATATTATAGGAAATGGCGCCCCCTTCACTTCAGGAGTGCAATGGTCCCATTTCCAAATAAGGTCCGAGACTGACAGTGGTCCGTCCCGCCCCTTTCTGTTTGCTGCAGCGAGGTGTACTTGAACTGTACTGCTTGATAACAAGTAAAAGCAGAAAAAAAATCTTATGATTTCTTGCCCATTTCAAGCACAGCAACTTAAAATCGTTGACGTCTCCGCAACAGGCTGCGTTTGAAAATAGCCGATAAATATTAGTTACATCCGTCCTGTGAAATCAACTTTTCTCTGTGTAATTGCAGCTCTCTGAGTCCAGATGAAAACGATCCGGACGTCTCGTTCCAAAGGGAAGGCTTCGGACGCCAGAGCATGTCGGAGAAACGCACCAAGCAGTTCGGAGACGCCGCTCAGCTCGAGATCATCAAGACGCGCAAGTCCAAGAGCATGGATCTAGGTACCGAACTCTGATTTGCAATGCTTGGGTTTTATTTTAATATTTACACATTTCCCCAGAGAACAAAAAACTCCAATTAATTCCAGTTTATGTGAACCAAACAAATTATTCATAGTACTTCTTCCCCCCAGCTTAAAAGCAGAATTATTCCCAACAACATACAGCTCAAACATAAATGTCACCATTTGATGTGCTGCACCAGATTATAGCATAAGCTAATTTGTAAAGGAATTGAAAGTTTGTTTTTCTGTAATTAATATCAGGTTTCTGTAAAAGTGAACGCTCCAGAAACGCCTCCTCTTATGCAACTTCTACTTTCTTCTTTCGAAATAACTCCTTGCATAATCATACACCTAATTATCTCAAAAAGGTTAAATCCTGAAATTTGCGTCACCTTGACGACACTTCCCTGCACGCTCCAGGTTTGTTGTTCAAACTCTTCCAGACTTCATCTCTCACCAAAGTCAAGAACTTCTGTGTTGATTCACCTTGAAATGTCTTCAAACAGTCGCTGATTGCTTTGGCTGCAACAGGCTCTCTGCTCTCACTCTCTCTGTAATCATATCTAATCTTCTCGACCAGATTGCCGCTGCGTGCCGTGTTCATATCGCGACGACTCTGATTGCTATTCTCAAACTGTATTCTCACCTCTCCAACCTCTCCTCCTCTTCCTCGTCTCGCATGGCGTCCGGTCCTGATTGAGACGAAGCGCCTTTGTGATGTTTGCAGCTCAGCCTGGATGTTGCATGTGGAATGTCATGAGCACTTAACCTAACCCCAGATGTTTGTATCCCTCCTCCTTCCTTTAACAGTAGCCGACGAGATTAACCTCACTCCTCGTGCCGACACAGACGCAGGTAAGGACCGGTGCACTGAAACCTCCAATCAGCTTCTCTCCTTTCACCTCCTTCTGCCTCACATCTTCTGATAAAAGGTGCATTTTGGAGATTTGTCACTCAGAGTTAGATGCTTTAGAGAAAGTTGTTTACAAGAGACTGTTTTAGGATTTTAAAAAGCCAAATCAGAGTTAAAAACTGCAGAAAAGACCCATTTCTGAACTGAACAATTTGCTGCAAAAGGTTGAAAATATCCCCAAAAATGAGCAATAAAAATATGGTGGGGGTTTAACTTTAAAGAGAGAACTTTTTATTTTGCATTTTTCACAATCTTATCTTATTTACTTCACTATTCACTTTTTTTTAGTTTTATAAAGAAACTCATTTCTGTATTTTACCAAATTAAGTTATAAAGTAACCAAATTCATAGTCATGATAATTTATATACTTTTATTGTATGTTTCACAAATATGTTAAGTCAATTTTAAAATTAAATAAGTTTTTCTATTTTGATCTAATTGTTTTTATGAGGTATTTTGATAATTTTTGTTTGAATTTTAAAAGAAAATGTTTTTATTCTAGCTTGTTTACTTTTTTAAATGATTTACACCGTCACATGTACTTTAATGCACTCTTTTGACTTTTAATATTAAGTTATGAGCCATATATTTATATATAGAATTAGAAATTCATGTAGGAGAAGCAAAACGTGCTAAATATCATAGTTTAACGCTCTTAGCGATTCAGCCTCTAATTAGTGGAAAATTAGTGCATTAGCAGAAGAGTGTCCAGTACTGATCTGCTGGATCTTAATATCTTAAATGTTGTTACAAATCCCATCAAAATATATGAATTTATTTCTAACCAGTGATTTTGATGCCTCCAAACCAATTTTTTCTGTCTCACATCCATCTGTGTGTGGTTGTTAAATATTTATAGAAAAGAAGATCAATGTGTGTTTAAAATATGCACAATTAAAGGTTTTGGGAGATGTTTTTAATTGCTCAGTCGGACATGTTTTCATCCGGGAACAAGTGAATTTCCCGCTGCCTGTGTGGCGTTGTGGAGCTGATCGATTCCTAACAGGATGCGACTCAAACCGTACAGGAAAACCAGGGACAGGCATTAAATCCCATTGATCTGGAAAAATAAATCCACCAGCAGACTTGTAGATTGTTTTTTTTTTTTCTTTCTGTCCAGTTTACCCACTGCTTTGCTCTAAATGCATTCCCGCAGCGTTCCCACCCTTTTAGCATCAGGCTCGCTCTTGACAAGACAAATTTGTCAGCGTGCCGTCTGAAGGCTTGCAGTCCTTCCTGTGAGTTTAAGGTCGCTGCTGAACACAGCGGTGGAAGCACTTGGGTGACTGCAGATTTGATTTTCTCCTGTTTTTGGCTCAGATGCAGCTTTAGCACTAATTGTTTTGCCTGAGATTCGGAGAGGGAGAGCGCAGAAAGCTCTCTGTCCTCGGCTAAGGCGGCGAGCTGACAGCAAGTCATCCGTCATTGTCAGGTCTCGTGTAGTTTCGCTGTCGCCTTGACTGAATAAAAGGCTGAAATCAGCGGCATGTAGAGGAGGAGAACCAAGAGGCGGAGGGAGTTTAACTCTTGGAGAGGGAAAATGTTTTGAAGCAACATGAAGATGTCTGTGAAAGAGTGTGAAACCGCGGAAAAAAACACAAACTGACGCTTCGATCTGATGGTTTAATCGAAACCTGTGTTGGCAACCACGAGACGGAGAGGAGTTTGATTCCAACTTTGTCGTTATGGCAGCATGAGTCAAAAAACGAAAAGGTTCTTGCATATTTCATGAGGTGTTTCTGCCAAATGATGGCAACAGATGAGTCTGCCGTGTTTACGATCTGATAGCAGCCAGGAAAAGTAAAGAGTTGGCATGCAGAAACTGCCGATACCTCTGATTAAAGTAAACATTTTAATACCAGAAAAACCAAAAGGAGGGTTTCAAAGGTTTGCGTGAAACTAATGTTATGTTTGAGTTGGTAATTTGTGTCTCAAAGTACCTGAACAACTATGTTTCCATTAGATAGACCTCCACAGTGACTCCTAAAAACTTTGAACCAACTGATGTACTTAACATAACAAATGCAAATTTCAGCAGTTTTAAAGATTTTTTTTTTCATGGAACAATTGCAATAAATATCCACAAAAGAATGACTCCAAAACCACCAGTAATGTTTTTTTTTCCATTGGGTTGAAAACTGTTGATTGTGCAGGCGGTGCAGTTTTTATACTTGGTGCACAAAGTGGTGCAAAATGAGCCCTCATTTCGAGTGAAAGGTGGTGCACAATCCGCATCAAGCTACTAAAATTCAGAGACGCATGACAAAGCGTCGAGAAAGAGAGCGAGATCAACTCGTCAATGTTTGAACTGTAAAGCTAGCTTAGCCTGGAGGGAGGGCAAGTGAAGCCTGGCCACCCGCCAGGCTGATGATGCATTGTGGAAAGCTATAGAGTGACTGATTGGTTTCTTTGATGAAAAATAAAATTTGTCTTGATTAGCTCAACAAAAAGGTTTTATAGGGATGCACAATAAATTGACATTAACATTGGCATCAATGTCAATACCACTGTATCATTAACAAAACTATATCTTTAGTTTTAAGTGGTTGTTTTGTTACAAAGAGCTTTAAAAGTTTATTTTCCATATTTAGAGTCTCTGTGTTGCTGGATCCATGAAAATTGCTTTTTCTTCTCAGAAAACCTCATTTAAATTTTTGTTCAGGCGTTTTCCAGCTTTAAACAATGGACCAAATACCATGAGAGCACTCACTCCTTCAGTTAATCTTGACGAACATCAACAGTGAACTTTCTGTGAAAGTTTTTCACTTTCTCACATTTAGCTCAGGTTTATTTTCACTTTTTGTGCCCTTGAGGATGATTTTTAACCATTTATTTTAATTTGTCTTAAATATAAATGGTCCATAGTCCACTTGGACAGGTCAAAACCCAGCCGTTCAACTGAAACCAAAGACCGGCGATGTTTTGGTCTCCAAAGGGAATTTTCGTCCTGCTCTGTGATTGGCTGAAGCGTTTATTGACACAGACCACCGCCACATGGTGAATGAGGACAGTGTTGAACTGCTGTTGGTGTTCAGGATCTGTTAGTCATGTCATAAATCTCTGTGAGAAAATGTGAGTCTGAACAATCCCAGCGACATAAACCCTAGAAATAACTTTAAATTCAGCTGGAGTCTTTTTGTTGTAGCTGGAATTACAAGAGTAATGTTTACCAGATTTGTAAACATTGCATTGTGACCTGATTTTATTGGCAGTTGGGTTTTTTCTTCCCATTTTAATTTCTTTTAGCTTGTGTTTCCTCCTCAGTTTGTGGGCAGGTGGCTGACTGAGCAGAATTTCACAAGAAATCACTTTGCCAAGTTCGAAGTCAGAAAAAGTTTGCCTGTTTGTGGCTGTGTGCCATTTGTCAGATCTCCAATAACGTGTAAATTACTCTCCATTTTATTTTTTTTTTCCTGTGATGCTGTCACTGATGTGTGACTGTTGTGAATGGCAGCAGGCAAAGCCTTTAAATAAAGTGGGTGTGCAGCGTGAAAGCCTATCAGCCCAGCTCTGGCTGAGACGCTGAGGGAACAGGACAGGTTGATGAGAATAAATGGGAGGCCGCTAACCCACAGCCTTGTTCACTCTGCATGTATTCAATTTTCCAGTTGAGTTTTTTTGGCTCTATCTGTTTATTTCTATTTTTTCTAGTAGAATCAAGCATTCAACATTAAGTACTTGGGAATATTCTGCTATTTTAATATGAAATTTAACTATTTTTTTCCTGCAAATTTATTCAGAATTGCATTTTAAAAATAGAATCTTAAATAAAACCATAAAAAATGGAAAAGAATAGAAATGACCTCGATTATGGAGAAATTCAGGTGTACCAGCTTGTAGATTCACACAAATATAACACACATATTTAACAAAAAGCAAGAGTGATCGACAAGCTCAAATTTACAAGAAGAAAAGTTATTAAAATGCCATACTATATTATATAAAAATGCTTTTACACAATAATCATTTGAAATAAACCCAAAGATGTTTTTTTTTTTTCCATTTCTTCTGGTGCTAAAAACAACTCACCCCATAAATATAGTCTGCATTGATCAAATAAACATTCAAATCTGATGATACACAATATATTGTTTTTCTTCAATATGATAGAAGAAAAACCCACAATTGTTAGTTGATTCCCATGATTAAGGAAAAAAAATGAAATTATGATCATTTAAAAATGTTAGCAAAAACAGCTTTTATTGCAAACTTTATTTGCTCTGATTATTTTAAAATTAATGTCAGTGTTTGCATTCCGTAATAACCTAAAGGCGGGAATCACCATGGCAACAACTGACACAGAATTCTTTTTTTTTTCCCTGCCAAAATTCTAACTGGGAAGCTTTTAAAACTAAATTCTTTCCCCATAAAAAAACGTCACAAACTTGCACGCTAATGCTGCTTCCACCGCCGGCCCACCTCTCCAACATGGAGCTCCAGATATTCAGTATCAGAACACATTTTTAAAACCTTCATGGGCTCAGAAGAATAAAATGAATACAACTATGATAATGTAGAGATTGGAATAGTTTTATACTTGAAATACTGGTTTTTAATTAAAAATAGAGCAATGATCTAGGTTCTGTTGAACTAAAACTAAAATTTTGTTTTTGATTGTATTAAAAGTCTATTGATTCAAGTTTCTAATCGACTACAACTATGCCTGTCTAATATTTTAAATTTTTACTAGCTCTTCGTGTAGGATCTGGGTTTGGAACATTAATATAGTTAATGTAAAGAAAGCCTTTCACCTCTATAATTTCACTTCTTTACCTTTATTACTCCCTCTGTTTGTTTTCTGATCATGTAAAAGCGGGCCATATGGGGATTAAAACTGTGCAACAGACCCACTTTAATTAAAGTGTCATGTTTCTCCAATTTTGCTGATGGTTATTTTAATTTACAGCCGCATGTTGTAATGAAGTTTTCAGTCAGTCAGGA